GCTTTAAATTTCCTCGGCCGAATCAGACCACGGAGTTGTTTTCGATCGAAACGAAGTTTGGTTAAAAATAAAAAAAATAACCTTTCAACCGAGTTCGACTGTGGAAAAAAAAATTTTTCGAGTTCAAACGAAAAGAAACCTAAATCCGACCAAAGAAATTTTTGATCTACCAGAGTCCATGTGTTTCGAGCAAGTCCAACTAAGCATCTCAATCCGGGCGTCAATAATTGACCAAATAGAAAGGATAACAGTTACTGAAATGGTGAAATCTTGAAGAGAATAGTGATTTGTTTTCAATAAGATTGCTGAATAAAACAAAGGTTTTATTTTAGTTTGCGACAAAACTTTAAACTTACAAACAATAGCTCATAAAGATCAAAGTTTATTTCACCGAATACAAGCGATAAAAGTGAAAAAAAGTTTGATTTCAGATCGGACAAAAATAATCGTCAATTTTGTTTCATTTGTATGAAAAAATTTAGCCTGGACTACGTTGTAGACAAAATCACAAATTTTTGCAGGCAAACTCTCTTGGTCGAAAATATTTTATTTGAAAACATAAAATTAAGCATAGAAAAATAGTCCCTGGAGTTTAATCCCTTTTTGGAATTGATTTTACTCGGGTTCTCTGTAAGCTGTGGTCGTCAATAAATTCACATTAACCGGTGTCTTCGTTCCATCAAAAATTTTAGTCGCTGCTTCTCTTTGAGTTAGTCAGTCTCTTTAAAAGTTTTGGCAATTATTGATCTAACAAATGTTTTCTGAATATCATTAAATAATTGAGTGCAGTTTCCTCAAAATTGCTGAAAATTTCATATTTTTCACAGCGTTATCACTGTTTTTGCGCCTAATATTTTTTCGTCTACTGTATCCGCCTCTCTTAACAAATCAATTTTGAACTGGTTAATATCTTTCTAAGCGGAGTGAAGGGGGCTCACTAACTTAAATAACCACCGCCTCAAAGTGCTCGGAAGATCAATCTATTCGAATAAAAAACAATCAAAAAATTTTCTGGAACTATTTTCCCCATATTAAAAGCTTAGACTCATTCCTGCTTAACTTCTGCCCGCTTTCACATGAAAAAAAAATTAGTAAAAAAAGATTTAAGGGGAAAAGTGGATGGTGTTTTTTCATATCGGTGCTTGATATTATATATTAAAATCAGATCAACACATAACTTAACCGTATTTTTTACTCTTCCCGTAGTTTAATGACCTCTGCTTTTTTACGTTTCTCAATTGAATTGCTCGACATCACTAAATGAGTGCCAATAAAAGTCATAAAAAAGTCACATAAATAAGTGCCAAACAATAAAAGTAAAAAGTCTATTTATCTCGACATCTCAGGAAAAATCTCAGGAAACTTTTCACGCAGCTTTAACCTCGACTTGAAAGGATTTCAGTTCGAGTTATATCTGAAATTTGTAGGATTTTTTTGTACTTTATCTATCGTGGCATGAAAAAAAAACAGTCACTTGGCTCGCTTTCAAGAAAAAAAAATACTGCTGATGAAGAACTCTTTGCTAACATATTTATAATCGGATTATTTATGCAACAACCGTTCACTATTTTCAATTTTTTCGTACAACCATTTTAATATTTTGATTATTTTTTTCATAATCAAAAGGAAAATTTGTCTTTGAAATAACCTAAAAGCGTATTCATGCGAATTTGCTTTGATTTTAAACAGAAACACATTTAAAAGCAAACCATAACAACCAAATGTACCATTTCAGTTTTCTACAGTCTTTCAATAAAGGATGTCTTTTTTAATGAGCGAAAGCCATGGAAAGGAACCTTACATTTGTCTAGCATGTATCAATTACCAATTGAAAACCGATGATGCGTCGTCTTAAGCCCATTTCACCTCTACGGGAAAAGAATTATTTTTTAATTGTAAGTAGCAACAGCGAAGTTTTTAATAACCATAATGACCTTGAAACCAACCCTTCTATAGACCATTGAATCTTAACTGTGAAAAAGTGACACTATTTCCATTTTTTTTGTATATTTTTAGCATCAAATTTCCTGCATTCTTCTTCTTTCCGATTGTGAATACGATTGTATGCAATTTATGAAATTATAAGCGAAATTGTATATTTGCATATCCTTTTTCTGTCTCGCCGGAATTTTGTTTGAATTATTGCTATAAATAAAAAAAAGAAATTTTTGGAATAGAAAAATGAAAAATCAAGATGACATTTCATCTCCGACTGCTCGAGCTGAAAAAAAGGTGAGTTTAGTTTTTCCGTGGCTCCTTGAAAGCTACTAATATGATTTCAGTTAATTTTAGATCGCTCCGTAGAACAAGAACCATTACAGGAGTTTTCTTTAGCTTAAGTTATGACAAAAAAATATGAACAATAGCAAAAACGTCACACCATTCATTTAACATGCTATTCTGCTGGCAAAAACGTAGCCACTTGGCGCATTAATTTCGGTTGATGATAATAGAGAAGTCAAAAATTTCAGGAAAAAATATTATGTTACAACAAAACTAGGAAACATTGTTTTTTTGCATCAATTCTTTAAGACGAAAAATTGCAGGAAACAGGCATCCTACTTCTCCATTGAAAATTTTTCAAAATGGGGTAACTTCGAATGAAAGAAAGAAGAATTTGCACTCGTATGAAAGAATTAAGCAAAACTTTACATTCGACATGAAAATTTTTAAAAAATGTTTCAATTTTTTAAAGAAAATTCATTGCCTTTTAAAGTTTTTACTAATCCACAGCAGAAATTTAGCAAATATTCGTTCCGGCGAATAATGAAACATGTTTTTCACAAATTAAATATGCATAACGAAAAAATCAAAAAATTCAAACAAGTTGTTCTCGACACGAGGAAAACTTTTTGAAATATTTAATGTAGTTCGAATCACGACTGTAAGGGCTTTAATATGATATATCACTCAACCCAGTCCAATCATTATTTGTGGTACCTCAAAAACTAAAATACATCCGAATACAAAGTTCCTCTCCATTTTCAATTTTAATTGGCTGGAACAATTACTCAATAGCAGAAATTACAATTAGGTTGATGACTTTCAAAAAAAAACTTTCCAAATATGATGAACTGGAGGTAAAAACAAATAACTGTGTGAATAACAAGTTGTTTTGCTGCTAATTAACCTTTCTTGCATTTCAAAATTAAATGTTTCTTGATATTAATTTAATAATTTAATTTTTAAAACCATGAGTGGCTAGAGAATTCCAATTTTGACATGCATTTTGTGAGAGCCGAGCAAGTTTTGTGCATGTCAATTATTTGCAAAGTTTTGTGCAATCCAGGCTGCATTTTAAAAAAAGCTGCAGTTCAAAAAAGTTTTTGTACAAACTTTGTAAGCTTTGCAACAATGGAAATGATATTGTTTCATTTCTTTTAGTCCTCAGGAAATGACAATTTCCACAGACAATGCAAAGCAAACGTAATTCGTTTGATGTAGTTTTTGATAATCGACGTTGTTTTTTTTAAACAAAAAGGACACAACCATTTTTATAAAGTATATTCCAATGATCTTACTCTATTTTTTTTTACCAGACGACTTTTGTCAAAGTATTGGAAACCAAGCTTGTGAGGTTTGTTGGTTTGTTTCCGACTCAAAACGTTGCTGGGAAATTTTTTGATCAATTTAGTCTTAGTTTCAACAAAAACATTGTACAATTTTTTGCTAGATTATTCTTCATATGTATCAAAACGAGTTTTCAAAGTATAGTTCAGTGCCTTCTGATAGTAAAAGTTTTCAAATAGTTCAAATCGTTTTCTGAGAAAAATTGAGAAATAAACTTTTTTCGACTTACATTTTTTTAAAATAATTTTTGATTTTATTCTTTTTTGTCAACAAAAAACCGTCGTAAAATATACATAATTGACTAATACTAGCGCATATGATTGAGCATTAGGCCTTCTTTTAGGTCTCCTGCTCAGCCCCTGAATAAAAACGATCTAAGCTGGGAATGAAAAACAATTGTTTTTTTTCTAACCTTGTTTTCATCTCAATTTTTTTTAAAAACTTTTGTGTAAAAATTTTGTGACAACTTGGGGCTCGAAAAAAAGTATTACTAATTTGCCATTTCGGGATATTGAAGCGCGCGGTAAGTTAAGCGCTGTTTTTAAGCAAGCAGCGATTTAATCCGTCTCAGAAACGGTAACAAATTGAATGGAGGCAAGCATTTTGATCTTGCCGAAGCACTAGTAGACGCCTTGTTCATCACTTTATAATTTGCAACATATCCATTTTGGTCGCTCTATCTTATCTTGTTGGGTCGTTCAAACTAGAAAAATATCTTTTTTGGACCGCACAAAACCGCACAAAATGTTATCGCTCGCACTAAAATGCGACACACCCGTTCTGAGTCGCGATGAGCGCGACATAAGTCAATGAACTCGATCCGGGTAGTTTGGTTGTTCAGAACTAAATTTTTCAACCAATCATAATCGAGCATTTTATACGCCAATGAAAAGTGAGTGGAAGACCTTTTTTTGGTCTATCTTGAAGCTGTAATTAGAAACAACCGACTGGAAGTTTGTTTGACTAAAGTTTTCTTTCTTATTATCTTTGTGAGAAGGTTTTCCAAATAGTGGTAGTTTTTTGTTCATTTCAAAGACAAAAATGCCGCATTCCTTACTTGAATTTTGCTCGACTTTAAAAAACACTAGAGAAGAGAATTTTTTATCAATTTAAAATTAATTTAACCTACTAACTACAACGAAAGTTGCGTTGTGACTCTGACGTATTTGATTGCGTAGGAACGGGATTTTCTGTCTTGTGAATATAAAACGGCTGTCGATAAGCCCCCAGATATGCCATGTTGAATTCTCACTTTAAATTTGAATCTAATACCCCTAAAAAGTATTATTTATACGTCAGAACTTCCTGAAAAAGTAAATAATCGCTTTTTATATTTGTTTCAAGACCTTAAATACAAGATACACAGAATGTATTCTGAGAAGCTTTTGAGTCGAATAATCAGGTCTCCATTGTGACGCTAAGCGCTACTTCTTTTCCCTGTCAACATGGTATTTAAATTTTAAATAACCATTGGGAAAAATTTGAGTTGGTCGTATTAGAATCAGAAAAACACACTTACTCATTCCAGCAGTTTTTACAACAAGGTACGTGACTTGGGTTTGGTCATATTTGTGATCTACTTAATCACTTATATCCCGTGGATTAGAGTGATTTTATGATCCAACAGTGTAAACAGCTTTTCCACTCTTTTTGCTTAAACAAATAATGTTAGTTCAAATTTGAAAATTTTCGATTACTTTCCCCAGCAGATCAATTTTGATCCATGTTTAACTCAAATTTTCCATTAAATCCAGTTTTTTTCCGTGCTAATCAATCTTTGTCCAGTGAATAGTGTCAAGTAGAAGTGAGGCACCGGTCACTTTTTCTTTTCTCATCCTACCAAGTCCAAGCAACCAAGCGGAATAGAAAACTTTACCGCTTTGACACTTTACAACTTCTTTTTGTGGATCAAAAACTACTTGCTTACGCCAGGTAAATTTAATTGCAGATTGTATTTATTACATCTATGAGGAACCAAAAACTACAATTTAATTATTAGTTAAAATTTAAAAAACGAACAATGGCCGAAATTAACTCAACTGTTTTTGAAAACTACTTTGATTGTTTTTAAATAGGAATGATTCCCTTAAAACAGAGCTAGTGAATAAAAGATTTATGCGAGCATGAACTTTTCAAATGTTTGTGCGGATTTTCCTCCTCCAGACAAATATCATTCATTCTACCAACACAAGGGCGGATTTGGGGGGGGGGGGGGGGGGGGTAGCGGATAGGAGGCGGACGTTCCATCTGGGATTCGAACCCCTGCCGACCCAAAGGGTCCCCCCTTCGTACTATTTTGAGATATAAATATTTGGTAACGGAATCTTAAAACTTCGACGCCAATGTATATTAATTTTGGACGCATTTTTTGGCAGGTTTTAAAATTTTTTCAAAAATTTGCCTGCGGCTCAGAAAATTGGACCAAAGCAGGGTCTTTGAGGTGCTTTGGGAGAGCTCGGAAAATCAAAAAATTGACAAAATTTTTCTATAAATGCGTGGGCGACAAATAATCAGTCTACGTGAAATAAAAAATGAAAGGATCCAAATAAAAGTAAGAAATATTAATTCAAAAAAATTTATATTCATGCGTGAGGAAACTTATTTGGAACCTAATTTGTGCCAATGATTTGACCCTTGTAGTAACTTGAAATGTCCATTTTTGGCTGGCGGACAATTCATACTAATTTTGAGGGGATAGCGTGTCAAAAAAAAACAAATTTTGTCAAACTACCCCAAAAAGCCAAAGAATGTCTTTTTGGCCTGTTTTTGTTCACATTTTTGCCTGCGGCGCAGCAAATTTGGTCAAAATAGAGTTTTATAGTGATTTGTGAGAAAAAAAGGCCAATAGTAATGTTCAAACACTTTTTGAAAGTTTGCCCCCTCGAGAAAATCCTAGATCCGTTTCTGTATTGTGCCAAAAATTCATCAGATACTTTGAAGAGTAGTCGGAGCGTGAAAGTCATAGTCCTGATACGAGCAGTCTTGTTTCTTCCAAGAAACATTTCAGTAAAATTTTGTGAAAAAAGTTTCCGTTTCTCCATTGGATTGTGATAAGGTCTTATAACGCAGTTTAGAACCATTAGAGGTCTCATTAAAATAAATGAACCATTGTTTTTCATTTGAACTATCAACTGGTAAATAGTCTCTTTTCTTGGACATGTGTCAACAAAAAATTAAGGAGAGCATTAAAAGATAAATTACTTGCAAAAAACTGTTCTGGCTTTGAGATAAAATTGTCAGACTTTTTGCTGCTTATTTTTTGATTTAATGAAATCTCCGTAATTATCAGAAATTTTTTTTTTAATTTCTAATAAAAGAGCAGCGCACTAATAGTTTTGGAACATTCTAAGAAAGTTAAAAAAAGTTGTTCTGCCATACTTTGAATCGCTTAATTTTTTTCTTCGTATGCAAAAAATGGTAAGTTTCTTAAGTTTGCGTTTTTGGTCTTTGGCTATTTTTACCGTACACTTATAATTTAACCAAAAAAAACGGCTAGAACAAGTTTTCTTCTCATTGTAAATCATACTGTTAATTATCAGTCTTTTTAGAAAAATGTTTAATCTGCAAAAAAGATGCCACAATAAAATTGCATTATTTTGTGTGATTAAATTTATCAAAACATTTGAAAAAAACCGATCTTCATAGAGAAAACAATTTATAAAAACAAATGTTGACTATGTACATTGCTGATTTATATTATCGGGACAAAACAAAGAAAACTTGACTTTTCAAAAACTAAAACTACTTCTCGGTTTGGGTTGAGATTAGACAAAAAATGAATTAATAAAAAATTTCACCAGAATTCAAATGGTTCAGTTTTTAGTTTGAAAATTCTAGCAAAACCTTCTACCAAAAAACGGGTCATTTAGCTAAATTATTTGTTTTTTTTCAGTCAATTGATTTAGTTAATCAAAATTTACGCTGAACTACCAATCTTAATGATGAGAAAATTATATCAAAATAGCCCGACAAATTTTTTAACGCATATAAACACGCTTACTGAGTTTTTATGCTCAAATTAAGTCGTTAAGTAAATTTGAAACCAAATTTTGAAACACATATTGCTGACAATTTTGCATGAAAGTTTTCGCTTTTCCAATACTGATTCAATTTCTCTGAATGACTGTTTCTTAGATTGTGAGTGATTACAGTGCTGGTTGAAACTAACCTGACGCAACGAACAAAACTTGAAATCTCAAAACGGATTAAATTGAGACAAAAAACGAGTACAAAAATGATGCATGGAGTTTTACTAAAATTAATATGGTGGGTGAAATGTTTGAAAATTTGAGTGAAATGTTTGAAATTTGCACCATATTATTTTTAGCAAAACTCTATGCATCATTTTTGTACTCGTTTTTTGTCTCAATTTAATCCATTTTGAGATTTCAAGTTTTGTTCGTTTCGTCAGGTTAGTTTCAACCAGCACTGTAATCACTCACACTCTAAGAAACAGTCATTCAGAGCAATTGAATCAGTATTGGAAAAGCGAAAACTTTCATGCAAAATTGTCAGTAAAATGTGTTTCAAAATTTGGTTTCAAATTTACTTAACGACTTAATTTGAGCATAAAAAATCAGTTAGCGTGTTTATATGCGTTCGAAAAACTCAAACGCAATAATTTACTTCAAAAATTTTTTAAACAGTTTTGTTAGTGTCGTTGATTCAATTCAACTTAAATTAGAAATTTTAAAATTTCTCCTTTCATTGCCTGTTTTTTTTCTCGAAAATTTAAGGACGGTTTGCTCAGTTTGGGATCCATGAAGTAATAGCAAGCTGCATCATTTTTGAATCTGAATAAAAAAAGAGAGAGGGAGTGAGAGCGAGCAAGCCACACACTCGCACAGAGAGAGAGAGAGAGAGAGAGAGAGAGAGAGAGAGAGAGAGAGAGAAGGAGAGTTAGAGGAGACAAGGCGCGAGAGAGAGGAGGGCGAGAGAGGAGAGACAGATAGATAAAAAGAGGAAGGAGAACGAGACAAAAAGGTAAAAGTGAAAGAGAAAGGTAAAAGGAAGGGATGATGCGAGATAGTGAGAGAGAGAATAGAGAGAGAGAGAGAGAGAGAGAGAGAGAGAGATAGAGAGAGCAGTAGGAGAAAGATAGAGATAGAGATAGAGATAGCGATATGGAAAAAAAAACTTTTTTTTTCAACTTTCTCTAACTTGTTAAAAATTTAATTGCGTTTGTTAAAAGTTTTTCTTTTTTAAATTTCAATATTTTTAGTTTTCTCTGTGATACGGCAAACATTTCTACACTTTTTATACTTCGAAAAAAAATGACAAAAAATTAGAGGTATAACTACTAACGGTATTTGTGGTCCTAAAACTATTGTCTAGAGCTAGAAATACGTTCTCTTTTTTTACTGTCTATTAATCTGACCACCAGATTTTTAGTCATCTAAGTAACGCCCACCATCGAGGAGACCTGATCAATTACTAATTTTTTTGTGGAAACAGCCTTATATTAGAATCTCTAGCTCAAAATACTTAATCAATACTAATGATTATAGTCCTGACGTTTGGCACCTAATGATAGAAAGTCTAGAAAGCGTCGAAGCCCCCTTAAAGAAGACTTTATCGGATCTGAATGAGCATTAATTTAAAACAACAAAAAGTGGTCTTCATTCACACTTTTGATTCGGTCCATTGTGAGAAAGAAAGCGCACGACGCTAACCTTGAGCATTTCGAAAGTTTTCCAGATTTGAGAAGTCAAACACTATTATTGTTCTTTTTCATGGTAACATTTCTTTCCGTTTTGTCACCCAGGTCATCAACATGTTTTGAAAAATGACCATTGAAATGAACAATGGTGAAGCAAAATAACCACAAAAGTGATGTCTCTAAACTTACAGTTTGAAGTGCTATGAGATACCTTAACTTCATCAAAGTTGAGCAAAATTGTGATAAAGACAGGGCTTATTCGTCAGAGATTTGTTTGCTTCACCTTTAGTATATTTTTGCTACTAAAATCGTCACGGAAGCTGCTGCAAACAATCTGAAGACTGTTCGAAATGCCTTGGCTTTCCTGTCATTTTTTGTTTCTCGACAACTTTCATCTCATTTTTTAACTTTGAAACTAATTGTCGATGAAAAAGTGAAGTTTTTGTATTCAATGATAATTTTTGGCGAATCCCTGATCAACAAACACAATTAGAGGCTACTGAAGATCCCAGAAACCACCAATAGTTGAAAGAATCCGTCTAATAGGTTTCTTTGCATTCATAATTTTTTGTCTTGTCAATGCTGAGTAGAACGAATAGACTAAAACTGTATATTCGAATTCAAAATTTCAAAGGAAAGCATCGCCGTTGATCAATCTCTCCAAGTTGAAAACAGCAGCATCAATTAGTTTTTTTCTTACAATTTTGGATTAATATAGTTTAATTACTTAACCATAGGTTTGCTCGTATGGCACATACCCAATCTTTTTTAATCCTTTTCAAAATTGAATAGTTTGGCCCGTTGTATTTAAAAGCAAAACTACTGAGCAGTTCAGCACACTATTTAGCTCCACTTTTTCAAACTTTAATGAAAGTCATTAGATCA